AAAATAAAAACACTAAATTAACTCTGGAAAATGATAAATTACATGGTATAATTATTAGTGGCAATGATAGTGGTAGTAGTGGCGAAGTTGGCGAGATTGGTGATGGCAGCGGAGATAATTTCTCCAACACTGTATCTAGTAATAGTAATAATAATAATAATAATAATAATAATAATAATAATAATAATAATAATAACCCTTCATCTGACGGCAGTGAATTCAATTTCAGCGAAGATGATGACATTACTTCTTCGATTACTACTGCTTCCACATCTGTAAGCTCTTCGCCAAATTCTCCCGACATTGACAATAATACAAAAGCATCACCATCGTTATCTCCAATAATAAATAACGAGAATAATAATAATGGTGGTGGTGATGGTAGTGGCGAATTGGTATCCACGACAAATCTATTAGAAAATTATTTAAATCTAAAGAAACAACGTGACGAATTGAAAACTCAAAGTAAATTCACAACATTACAAATTAAGCAGTTGGAATTCGAATGTGGTGAATTAAAACAACAAATTTCTGATTTGAAATTAGTAAATAATAAATTAACATCAAAAAATAATTTATTATCAAATCAAATAAATTCGCATTCACAATCATCATCATCCTCCAATGTTGATAATGACAAATTACATAAAGAACTTGATAAAGTTAAGAAGGAACATGATAATAGTTTATCTAAATTTATGAAACTGTCAAAAGATTATGATGAGTTGTCTTTGGAATTAGCTGGTCTCAGGAAAGAACACTCGTTGCTAACAGGAAAAGTTGACGAGGCAACCACACAACTTTATATTAAATCAAACGAGTTGTTAGTATTAAGTGAAAAACAAGATTTAATGAAAATGAAGCATGATGAATTGAAGCAAAAAAATATAGAATTGAGAAATGAATCTGAACGACTACAAGCCACATCTAATAATAATGAATTGATTAGGAAACAAGAAAGTATTGAAAATAAAGCCAAATTTGCTAAACTTGAGAATGAAAAGGCAGATTTGGAATTGGAAATTTCCAAGTTAAAAACAGCATTTGAAAAATATGAGAATGTCGGAAAAGAAAAGACATCTTTGGAATTGGAAATATCTAAATTAAACGTTTTTCATCATGAGAAACTTGAAAAGGTCGAGAAAGAAAAAGCAGCTTTGGAATTGGAAATTTCTAAATTGAAAGTTGGCTATGATGAAAAACTTGAAAATATTGAAAAAGAAAAAATTTCCTTGGAATTGGAAATTTCTAAATTGAAGCAAGAATATGAAACTTTATTAGACAAATGTCAACCAATGGTAGAGTTTGAGGAATCTAATAGTGATGACATTAATAATAGTAGTATTAGTGATGATAGTATTAATCTAATTTATATTAGACAAATTGAAGAATTAAAAGAAGAGCTTGAAAAAATTAAACAACAAAATGATTTATTATCAAAAAATAACAAATATAAAGAAAGAACGAGAAGAGAAGATGATAAAATTATTAATAATGGTAATCTATTATTACCAGCATCATCTACTACTAATCAATCTTCACCCGACCAATTTTCATCTAATCAAAATTGTTATTCACCAACTGAAGAATTAAACGATCCTATCACTGATAATAATAACATAGTGTCCATAAGTCCAGTAACAAGTTCAGATATTATGATTGCTCATTCACAACGAATAAATGCTACAATTCAAACTGCTACGCTTATAAAACGTGCAACTTTGACTACCCCTCTTAATTCTACTACACTTATTCCTAATTCAACTAATAATAATAATGAATTGAATAATTCTTCTCCCTCGCAATCTTTACAATCTTTATCATCAACACCACCTTCATCTAATATTCCATCATATCAAACCTATGTTAAGAAAAGATCACAGCATCAATTATCTTCTTCATTTTCTTCATCAAATATATCATACCTCACTAACACTACCAACAATAGCAACAACAATCAAAATAATACAAACTTTAGCAGATCAATTACTCCTACTACACCTAAACTTAATCTTGTCACTAATCCAAATTCAATACTAACGACAACCATCCCTACAAATTCCCCTTTAGTTACACCAACTACAACTACAACTAATTATGGTAGTGCTGCTGAAGAGTATAATAATAATATTAATAACGAGGAATATGCTAGTGGTGAATATGCACAGCAACGATATCATAACGTAATCACAACAGCAAAACCTACAACTTATAATGTTGTTTCTGCTCAACGACAATCTAGTGATGAATCAAATAATATTTATTATAGCAATGGAGTTGTTGTTAATAATATCGATACGCAGCAACAGCAGCAGCAACAACTTTTATCTTCACGACAACCTTCTTTCTATACAAAATACCAATCTCAAGATTCAACTAATCCTAATATTAGTAGTTATAATAGTTATAATAATAATAATGATTATTATAATAGTTATGGTAATTATAATAGTCTTAGTAATAATGCTAATATTGATTATATAAATATGAGCAATATTAGTAATCATAATGTGACGGAAAAATCAGATTCTACATCATTAGCAAGCAATACATCACATAATACTACAAACACTAATAATACTGCCAGCACTATTAATACCACAAGCACCACAAGCACCATAAACACTATTAACAATGATGTTAGTATTGTTCAATTTACTCCAACGAATCAATCAAATGAAAATATAATACCTTCTAAAAGAACGAGCTTATACAGCAATCTTTCTAAAACTTTAACATTTTCATCATCACCACCATCATCACCATCATCATCTATTCCCTCGTCAAAATTTAAATCATCAAAATCATTATCAACACCATCAACAACATCACCATCAAAACAAAAAACAAAAACTCATTCAATTTCATTATCATCACAATCAAATCTACAATCATCGTCTTCACCGTCTTCACCAATTATTAAAGATGATAATAGCAGCATTAAAAGTTTCAAAAGGAATTCACTAATTAGAAGTTTTAAAAATCCAATTTCCTTTAATAATTCTTCTTCCAATTCCTCTTTACCAACATCATCATCTGCCACAACATTTTTACCATCCACAAATAAAAATAATAATGGAAATGGCAAAATAGTTCCAGTTTGTCACCATTGTAGAATTAATCCATGTAAAAAGAGATTTACTAAGGGTTACAGTAATTATTGTTCTTCTGATTGTAAGAAATTAGCTCAACGAAATAGTAATTATAGTGATGGAAATGATAACGAGAGGTAAAAAATCAAAAAAACTAATAATATATTTTATTTAATTAACCACATGAATATTGATTATTTAATTATTTTTTTTTATTTAAATAGTGTAATATCAGAAATCTATGATGAATCAAGGAAATCTCTCAGTAATAATTCAATAATAAATGCATCAACTGAATCGTTTCAACGACAACAAAATCATTATTAATAACAAAAGTTAAAAATTAAATCATTATATTTATTATATATACTGTAGATTATTTATTTATTTATATATTAGAATGTTATTAGAATATTTATATAGTTTAAATTTTTTATTTTAATTTTTCTTAATTACAGTAATTCTTTTTTTGTAAATTATATTATCTTATTTTATTTTAAAAACTTTATAATATTACTTTTTAATATCGTACATTTCATTATAAATTTTAAATTTGCGTATAAACTAAAGCAAAAAGGATAAACTCAAACTTTTAATAATAAAAGATATAATTATTAGTAATTAAATTATATTGATAATGTTTGCCTTATTTTATTTAGCAATTTCATTATCTAATTTGTTGCGAATCGCTACCATTTATCATTTTCAAAATTCCTTTTTATAAAGCTCTTCTTCAATAGTCAGTTAGTTGGTTTTTTTGATAGTTACACATCCCAACATTTCCTCAGGCATTTCAGGTAATATTGGTGGTCGTAAAACCACCTTCATATATACATATACAAAAATTAAATGATGATTATGAGCTTTATCATTTAATGGTGGATGGCTTATACTATTAATTTTGTTCATCCAAACTGTAATATAACAACAACCACACACCCTTGCAATAATATATTACCACTATGCAAATCACAAATCACAATGGATTAAAATCTTTTTTTATGTATACAATATAACGCGTTACATAAATTATCAAGATTGTAATTTTATCTTTTAATATGATTGTAAATCTCTTGAATTTCCTTTCTGAATAATGATCAAGAACCATTGCGTAACTTCCATTATAGTTATGCCATAGCAAGCAACAATCAAACCTGGTTTAATTTTACAATGATTCATTGCCTGAAATTATATACAGTATCATTTAAATAAACCTCGCCAAAAAAAGTTATTACTTGAATTACTTGGACATTTTAACAACAACCAAATACTTTTTCCTCTTATCCATCTGGCTGTATAAACCCACCTTCAGTTGATTTATAGCATCTTCAAAGACATGGTAGGTAATATAAAAGTTGGCAAAGCAAGAGAATTTGACATTGTAGAGTAAAATCATCAACCATGTATGTCATTTCCAGATGTCCAGGTAGTGAAAAGGTTCCGTAATTGTAAACCTATACTAATACACTTTTCATAGAATCTATTAGAGCATCTTGTTGCTTGGTTTGCCCAATTTATAAATTGCATTATTTAATTCAAAGCTATTAAAAAAAAACTTTATCAGGGTTAACCAGAGCATTATTACATTCAATTAACAATTTTATATATGGTTGGCGCAGTTCAAAGACTCTTTGTGTTTAACAATAAGTAATATGGGAAACGAGTTGATACCACATATATACGTAACTTATCGCAAGGAATTTTAGCTTAGAAACTATGCCAAGCAATAGAAACAAGGATAATTACAAAAGATCATGATTTTGAGTTAGCAACATTTCTATCACAACAATTAAATTTTAGGTTAATAACCATTATATTTTCCCGTTAAAGTTTATGCAGATCTTTTTTCGATTTTAAAAAATCGTGATTTTGACCTTCATAAGAATAATATATAAAAAGTCCACCAACATGTCTTCAATTGATAACAATCATAATGATAATGATGATGTAGTTTATAGTTGTTTTTTCTATGGTACATTAATGTCTCCAAGAATTTTTGAACGTGTGATTAATAAATCAACAACAACAACTATTACAGAATCTTCAAATTCAAATATTATTAACAAAAATTTTAATGCAAATTCTGCCATTTTGAAGGTATATGTTAACTAATTAATTAATTAATATAATAAGCTAATTATTATTAATTTACTTAGGGATATAAACGTGTCAGAGTACGCTATGCAACATATCCTGCAATATTTAAAACTAATGATGATGATGACGAGGTTGAAGGCATATTGATTGATGGATTAACTGTTGATAGTTTGAAAAGATTGGACTATTTTGAAGGCGATGTAAGTTTATAATATCAATATCAATATCAGTATCAATGGCAATAATAATAACAATGATAATAATGATAATAATAAATATTTATTTGTAGCAATATAATAGAAAAAATGTTAATGTTTATCTTAAAAAAATTGAAACCATAGCAACATCAGAAGAAACCGAAAGAATGGTATCTGCACAATCATATGTATGGAGTGATTCTTTAGATTTTTTAGAAATTGATAAAGAATGGAATCCACTAGATTTTGGAATTTCATTAAATAATTGGACTAAAAAAGATTTTGATGAATTGTAAGTGCTACTACCACTATTACTAGAACAACAATGACAAACTATTTCTTTTGATAAACAAATTTTTTTTAAAAAAATAATCAGTTGTAATTTAATATTATATAAAATAATAGTTGTAATTTAATATTATATAAAATAATAATACAAATAATTTATTATGATCATTATATACTTAAAATCCAAAATTATAGATATATATTTTTTTTTCATTTACATTGACAGGAAAAAAGTTTACCATAGAGGGGCTGTGGATTTGAAGGTTTTCTAGTGTGAACATAGAAGTTGGAATTTGCAAGTTCTGTATTATATATGTGATCATCATTTATTAAATTTATTTCATCAGAAAACAAATTATTTCCAACTTCTTGTACTTTCACTTTTGGATCCTGTTTGAAGTCACATTTTTTAGTATTATCCTAATTAGAAATGGGAAGTTGCATGAAATTCCTCATGCGCATTTTATGCAGTGCATTTTTTTTTTAAACTAAATATATTTTCTATTCTAATTGTTTCATCTTCATCAACACCCTCACTTTCATCACCATCATCACTTTTATCACTTTCTCCCACATTTACATCATCATCAATGATTGTAATATCTATATCATTGTTATCATTTTTTGGGACATTTTAATTTGTGATTGAAATAAATATATATCAATTTAAAAACACATTCAGATGTCAATTTATTTATTTTTTGTCATGTATAAAAGAAAAGGTGGACCAATTCCTTTCTGAAGCAGCTGATGAAGTAGGAACTGAAATTATACGAACTGCAAATTTTGCTACAGTACGGATCATCTATACTCAAAAGTCAAAATCTTTGAAATATTATGTGGTCCACACACTGGATTTTAGAAAACCCACCACCATTCAATTCAGCTTTAAGAAGGGAGTATATTAATCTAACAAAAAATTTTGTCTCGAATAGATTTTTTAAATTTTGAAAGTTATGCTCAAAAGAGCATAGCGGGCTTTTTCTGTGATTGGTCAATTTTAAAAATGACGATCATTAACAAATTTAAAGTTTAAAAAAGTTATTTTTGTATTTGTAAAATTCGACGAATGTTTTTAATGAAATAATAATAAACTTATGAAGTGTTAAACAATGATAAAAGATTATCTAAAATTGTATCTACAGAAGAATCTAAAGAAATATTTTCGCTATCATCAACATCCTCTAAATTACTTTCATCATCATCATTATTTTCTACAATTAAATTATCCTCAGAATTTAAACTATTTTGAAAAATGTTAGAATTTTCAATAATACCTTTTGTTAAATATTCATTGCAATAGATGCATTGTTCTGAAAGATTTAACAAAAAGCATTCATGATGATATGAGTGACCACATGATAAATTACAACCAAAATTATAAGGAAGCTCACATTCTTCCAAATCACAATATTTGTTAGATTTTGGTGGAAAAGATGTATTCCATGCTAATGGGAGTAATTTAACATCTATAACTGTATCTAGTGAAGGAAGTTTATATTGTGGTCTTTTATATTTACCTGATCTATTTGATGTATCAACTGCTGCATTACCTAGATTATCATTCACATTCATAAAAAGGTTCAATAAAAATATTGCTGCTTTCTTTTTCATAAAATCTAACTCCTTTTCTGTATATGTTATATTGTGTGTATCTGAAAATTTTTCTTTAAATTTATTGTTTCCATGTTTTTGATCAATATTTTTTGCTTGTCTTATGATGTTTTCACTTGAGCTTGATTCATTGGTCTGAAGACGAAGCGATGAGTGAAAATTTTCCACATAGTAGTCATTGAACAAGTGGAGATTTTGTTCAATAACCTGTGCCATAGGGTGATGTGTACTGAACCAATAAAACACATCACTAAAAAAGGCCAGTGGTAATTTGTTGTAATTCTTTCGGCCATATTTGAAAAAAAGAACCCAAGCACGAAACATTGCTTCTTTATAAGCTGGCCAATGTCCACTTCGAAATATCACTGGATAAAAATCTAAAACAAGTGGAATAACATTATCTAAAAGGTCTAGTAAATATCTTACCTCAGTATCTTTACAATTTAAAAATTTTTTGATGACATCTACTCTTATTAACTTCCATCCAGCAGAAGCTAGTTCAAGTAACACATTAATTTTATAGGGCATAGGCTTCTTTGATAGTGGTTTTTTCTTCATATAGATCTCACAATATAGTTTGTTAAAGAATTGTTTTTGATCAATATTTTTTGCTTGTCTTATGATGTTTTCACTTGAGCTTGATTCATTGGTCTGAAGACGAAGCGATGAGTGAAAATTTTCCACATAGTAGTCATTGAACAAGTGGAGATTTTGTTCAATAACCTGTGCCATAGGGTGATGTGTACTGAACCAATAAAACACATCACTAAAAAAGGCCAGTGGTAATTTGTTGTAATTCTTTCGGCCATATTTGAAAAAAAGAACCCAAGCACAAAACATTGCTTCTTTATAAGCTGGCCAATGTCCACTTCGAAATATCACTGGATAAAAATCTAAAACAAGTGGAATAACATTATCTAAAAGGTCTAGTAAATATCTTACCTCAGTATCTTTACAATTTAAAAATTTTTTGATGACATCTACTCTTATTAACTTCCATCCAGCAGAAGCTAGTTCAAGTAACACATTAATTTTATAGGGCATAGGCTTCTTTGATAGTGGTTTTTTCTTCATATAGATCTCACAATATAGTTTGTTAAAGAATGCATGATTTAACTTAAGAACTGTTTCCCGACTATTTAAAGATACATGAAGAGGACCTATCATGGGAATTATATGAAGTAGCAAGGGAGAAATATTGAATGTATTTCTAGAATTAAAATAATTTGAAATAGCACGCCGTAGATTGAACTGCCCAGGATAATCCAATGAAGCTGGGAGAGCATATAGTCCAAGATATGACTCTAATTCTGGAACATTCAAAAGATTGTTTATAGCTTTCACATAATCTCTAGTGGAATGTAAGCTCCCTTCTACTAGATTTACAAGTTTAGTATTTTTCATACTTCTGTCTTCTCTTCGCTGTCTTATCCTATTATCATAACTATGAACAAGAAGCATCTCAACCTGCTCTTCATGATTAGCAGCTTCGTGTAAATTTTTAGCAAAAAATAACTTACGTTCATTATATGTCAGCCAAAGATAGGGAAAAATTGATTGCTGTAAATTTTCAATTATAAGATTATGATCAATGCCTCTTGGGTTGTGAATATTCTTATCTGTAAATGGGTTGTTAAAGGGAGGTGCTGGAATTCTAGGTGCTGCTTTCAATAGAATTGTTTGGAAGTGATGAACCTCAGATGTTGTTGTAGTGTCAGCACGTCTCTTTGTATGAATATTGTGATAATCATCCAAATTAAGAATCATTAAATCATCCATCTACTCATTGACATTATTGTTGTTATGGTTAATACAATTAATAACAATTCAGATAAATATATAGTATATATTAATGCTTACGTGTTCTGAAACAAATTCTCCAACTGTCTCAGAGTGAATTAATTCATTCCTTTTTTTATGTTTTGTAACTGTTTCATGCCTAATACTTATTCCAGCTCCTGCAAATGTTTCAATTGCTGATGCTGATGCACCAGCATCATCCAACATGTAGCCTATTTCTGCTTTGATGCCATTAATAAACTTATTATTCAAGCCTGCTAAAAAATAACAGAACATCACCAAGCGCTTTTTATTTTTTTCATTGGTCATGTGACTCTTAGATGTTGGATTAGTTCCAGTATAAAGAGAGTCAAAAAAGCCTTTTAGTGATGGTTCTGTATCTTCCAGCATAGTTTTGAATTCATCAGGATCAAAAATAGGGTCTTGATTCTCCTTTCTTTGTTTAGTATATAAAACACCAGTCATTAAACGAATCTTTTTATCTAATGGAATTAAATCTGAGAAACTAAATTGTTAACACTTATACATAAATAATAAATAACCTAAATATAAAAGAATTTTTTATCAAAAAATATACCTAATTTTGCTTCTTTTAATTCTTCACAAATTTCCTGGTAAGCTTTTTCTAATTCTTTATACTGGTCTTCAGTGTATAAAATATCACTTCGTAATGCATATGTATTGTTGTGAAATTTTATCAACTCATCTTCTTGTGTTACTTTTGGTCTTGATGCTGGATGTGGATAGTTTTGAAATGTTTCATCATGATCACTAGAATACTTACAATGATTGCAAAAAAGTGTGTCAGATGGAAGTTTAAAAAATTCAATTAAACGAATAGGTGCCTTATCAAGTTTTGTATCTTTTGATGAAGACACTGAATACTCCTTGTGTTTTGGATGTCCACATTCTTGTTTTTTAGCAATCTTCTGTCTTTTTCCTGCGTTAACAATTAATTTGTTGTGATGTTTTCTACATAAAGCTTTTCCTACCAAATCTAGATGTATGTTCTCCTCAGGTATCTTCGCATTTTCCGTAATGAAAGAAGCACCATTTCGTTCATAGTCACACTCAATGTTGTATTTACCTTCAAGGTCACAGTATTGTGGTTTGTTGAAACGTTTTGTTGAGCTAATAAAATAAAAATATATACGCGTGCATAAAAAAAAAAATAAATTATAAATAATTCAAAAAAGTTTAGCCGTTTTTCTGTGAATGCTTGAAAGTTCTTCTTATCTAACTTCTGAATTACCTCGTCATTTTTCGAATTACTTTGAAAATATATTAAGTAGAACCTAAGCTTTTTATTGGTATGTGTCTTATAAGCCAGAAATAATTTTTGGTGGCCAGAAAAGGGTTTAAAGTCAGATGATGAAAAATTTAATAAAGAACTCTATTATGTACCTTGTCGATCAACCAATCAAATTTAAGCCCGCTATGCTTGAACACCCCTATTATTAAAAATAACCCCTGATTTTTGTCATAAATATAGAAATGATATGCGATTCCCGAGTTTTTGGGTCAAATCTTTTTTTTTCAATTTTCTCAAAATTATGATTTTGCCAGACGAGGGAATAAGTCCAATGCGTCAAAACTGCTGGTAAAAAATTAAGGTTTGTGGCTAATTTTGTTAATACAAATTGTTCTTCGATAAATGGGGCCTAAAGACTGCATTTAAAGGAACTCACTATTGATTTTTAAAACTTTAAAATAAAAATATCTCAAAATTTACCATGCAAAATGGTATGACTTCTAATCTAAAAATACTCCAAATGAAGAGTTGTATATAGTAACGGTGGTAGCATTAACTCAAAATTACTTTTATTCACATTATGGTCCTTTTCTATCGAAAAACCCCCGAATATAAAGATGACGTCATGGAATTTACCCAACTTGATTGGATTTAAAAAAGTATCAAAAAAATGAAATTTTATTTTCATAAAAAAAATTTATTTTCAAGTCTTAAACGCGTTTCATAGAATAATCTTTCCATCTATTTTTTAAGCCAAAAAAAAAAATGTCAGCGGAAGAAAAAAAGAAAAAATTAGAACAAATAGCTGCAAGACGTAAAGCACAAACTGAAGCTGAAAAAGAAAAACTTGAGTTGCGTTCAACTATCATATAGATTTTGTTATTGGAAAAAAGAAAGACGATAAATATAAATTTTTTATACTTAATTTTTTTTTTTTTTTAAAAAAAAAACATTAAAAAAATAATAAAAGGAAAAAGGAAAAAAACCCCCCAAAATCTACTATTGCTACTACCTCCAGAACCTCATCAACAACTAAAAAATCAGCTAGTCCTTTAACTAAGACTACACCCAAAAGATCAACCTCACAACTAGAAAAAGGCGGTAGATCGATTCGTGATGACCATGATGATTTTATTGTGGATGATGATGATAAAGGTTTTTTTTGTTATTTTATTTTTAAAAGATTACTATTTATTTGTTTATTTGAGATTATTAGATAAATTTTAAAATTTATTTTGATAATAAATTATTTCATATATATATATATGCATACACATACATTACTCACTCACATATATATATTAGTTAGCATTTATTGATACTTTATCAAAAAAAATTTTTTGCTTTTTAAATCAATAATTGTTCGAGTATACTAATTAATTTTTGCCAATATATTTATTACTTTACGGTCAGATGATTTGATAGAAAGTGATGAAATCGATGAAGAATTCGAAATATCTGATGATTCATTAGAAGATTCAGACGATTCAAGTAATAAGAAAAAGAAAAAGAAAGCTGCACCAAATAAAAAAAAATCAAGTTCTAAAAATTCTAAATCAACGGTGATTTATATTGTTATTATTTATTATTTTGATTGATTGATTGATTGTTGATTATTATTATTATTATTTAACAGCCAAAATCAACAAAAAGAAAGAAATATTCTAGTGATGAAGATTCGGAAATAGTGGTTAGGAGTAAATCGGGCAAAAAAAAAAAAAATACTGGTGATAACGACGATGATAATGACGACGATTACAATTATTCCGACGTAGTTGATGAAGGTGATTTAAGTAAGTTATAGATAGTTACTATTGTTATAGTTATTCAAAACTTATATAATTGCTATAATTGTTCATATTTTTAACAGAAGAAGAAGCCGAGGGTCTTGATACATCAAATATCATTAAAAGTGAAAGAAGAACAAGAGGAAAACGATTGAATTATAGAGAAATGGTAAGTATTAGATTTATTATTTAATCTAAATAAAATAATTTTTTTATATCTTCTTATTTTAATTCTAGTATGACGATTCCAACGATCTACAATGGTAATAATCAATTGTGATCAACAGCATAGTCATGGATTGGAAGTGTTCATGTGTAACGCAAATTAGTTGACGAGTCTGAATAAGTTCAAATTTGATTTATATATCAAATTGAAACTTCTTAACTCGAAAGTTAAGAATTAATTATTTTTCAGATATATCAACTTATATAAATGTTCAATACAATAAAAAAAATCAAAATTTTTTTTTATTATAATTGGTAAAATTTTAATTTTCTTTCCAAAAAAAATTATTTTAACAACTTTATTTAAGGCTTGAACGAATCGTGCTTTGATTCAAATCTATAGCATTCATTATCATTAGGGATGGGCCTCTCTGTTGGATGATCTTTCCTTTTAAGGAAAGATCTTTGAATATATCACGTGAAATTTTCGACAATTTTTTTATTAAATAAATATATAATAACAGTCAAACGATATGTCACAGGAAGTGTAAATTACATACATAAATAGAAAATCCGACTCGTGTAACAAATCAGTTTTTTAAAATATCTCATTATTTTTATAACAAATACAAACATCAT